GCACTCAACCCCCACAATCACTGCCAGATTCCTGTCTCAGGCAGGGATGCCCAGGGCTGTTTCCTGAGGAGGTTTTGGGATGGACAGCACTCAGGACTGTGAAGCCTACATGAGCTGAGGAGGCCTTGATTTGAAGGGCTGGTGAATCTGTTCAGATGGATGCCCCTCCCAGTGCCCTCAGAGGCTGAGGTCAGAGGGTGGGGAAGGGGGTTGCAATGGTGGCCCACCCCTTGCGCACCACTGAACAGTGACACCTTTCTTCTTATGGTGTCCCAGGATTTTCCCTCAAACTTTCCCTGTTGTGGAGCTCTTTACTCCTGTCCCTTCAGGCTGTCTTTTTCACAGCCAACATCTGTCCGCTCCCTGGGTTCATGCTCCAAACCCCACTTTCCAGGACCCAACCTCCTTCAGCAATGAGACACGTGACTCAGGCTGTGGTGTGCAGGGCTGAGGCACAGACTATGAGCACAGTTCTTACTTTGTCCTGCCTGCCACAGACTGTCCACTGTGTTCTCCTTTGATCCCACAAAGGTCCCTTTATGTCCCAGCTGATTTCCCCACCATGAAGGGGGTGTTTTTCTGAGTGTGGGAACTTCTCACCTTCAGCTTCCTACAAGGGTTGCTCGTCCCTTTTTTGATTCTTCTTTTCTTTTTTCCTTTCTTTCATCCTACCTGGTTGTAAAGGAATTTTTCTTGTCTTTTAAGGTGTCCAAATCTTCTGCTAATGTTCAGCAGGTGCTCTGTGAGAATTGTTCCATTTGTGGATGTATTCTTGATGTACTTGTGAGGAGAGATGAATTCCACATCCTCCTATTCCACTATCTTGACTCCTCCTCTAATTATTTTTATCGCTTTTACCAAATGTCTATTAACTCAACTACTCTGATGTTCTGAGCTAATCCTTCTCTTTACTTAAGGAGGAAGGAATCATAGCTGGAAGAGTTGAAAGACAAGTGTCAAGTAAACTTTGCAATTCTTTCTGTTTGGACCTTATATTGCTGTTCTGGTAATTGAGCTCTCTGGTAGAACCCAGCATATACTCCTGAGGGAATGTTGTAGGAGAGGATTTAAGACACCCCAAAATACTAGTCCTGTTGACTAGATGAGATAGAAAGAGGAGCAGATTCTGATGAATTTTGACGAGTTCAGTTTAGAGGAAATTGGATGAAAGTTGTATGTGAAATGGAAATAAAAAACTGAAATATGTGCTGAAAACACTCCAAGGTTTTAAAAAAAAACACATTTAAAAAAGATGGTCACCTTTTAGAACTGGGTTTAAATCCTGTCACATACTAACTTTATAAACTTGGTCTCTTTTTTTTTTTAATGGAAAACAAGAACTATAACATCCACCTCATAAGGATGCCTAATGGAAGACAACCCAATGATAAAACTCCTGTAAACCCCACACTCAGCACCCAGCTCACTGTGGGCAGGAGTAGATGTGGGTTCTATTGCCTTTGTTTCAAGGAAGGGGAAATATTTAAAATGTTCATGTCAATTTTTCTACAGCCTTTGACATATTCAAGATTTTCCTGTGGAAAATAAATGCAATAAGTTAACGGTTGTATGCCTTTCACCAGTGTAAACTTATTTGACAGTTATTTTCATAGTTTTTTATTATGCATTATTTATCATAATATTGAAGGAAAAATAGCCCCTTCCCCATTAGCAAGGCAGTCTCAAAGGTTTTTCATTCCTCTTTTGATAAATGGCACAATATGAATCAGATTTTACTACACAACATGAACTGTTTCCTCTAATGAAAGTGTACCATACAAACAATTCCATCACTCTTATTGCATTTATGTTTTGTTTTAAATTTTAACTGTTTGCACTGATACATCCATATGAACCATTTGTAAAATCAGATGTAGAAGTCAGAGGTACAAATTGTGTCTCCAGGACCTCATTATTTTAACCTAAAAAAAAAAAAAGCACATGTTGGCTTACATTTCCATCCCTCATAAGAAATGTAGAAGTGAGCATTTTATTTAATACAAAACTAACTAGTTAATTAGCTAAATACTTTATATTTATATGATAGACTATTCAGTGATATATAATATTCAATGTGATATCCTATAAATGATGTATTTGATTTGGCCTATGTAGATATTCCTCCTTTAAGATTCCAATGATTTAAAAGATCAGTGACTTGACTGATATTATGGAGTCAATGTTAGAACCAGGACTAATTCATTTTACTCTTTGCATCTGGTGCAGTTTTCTGCTGAGTTCTTATTGAATGTGTCTGAGAGGGAATGAGTGTGGCAGAGTAAGAAGATGCTAAGCTCACTTCTACCCACGGGCACACCAAAATTGCAACTATTTACAGAGCATTTATTGATGACAAAGGTGGAAAGATTAGCAAAAAAGGTTTTCTACAACTAAAGTTATAAAGAAAAAAACAATGAGACATGGTAGAGGGACAGAGATCTGGTATAGGCAAGACCCATACTCCTGGATGAGTGACCCACAAACAGGAGGATAATTACAATTACACTGGTCTCCTCAAGGAGCAAGTGATCTGATCCCCACAGCAAGTTCCCCAGCCTAAGGATCCTACTCTGGAAAATAAACCCCAGAACATTTGGCTTTAAGGCCAGTGAGGCTTACTTTCAGAAGAACCAAAGGACTGTGAGAAATAGAGACTCCACACTTAAAGGGGGAACACAAAATCTCACATGTTCCAGGACGAGGGAAGGAGCAATAATTTAAAAGGAGCCTAAATCAGACCTACCTGGTGATCATGGAGAGCCTCCAGGAGAGGTAGGAGGCAACTGGAGCTCACACTGTAGACATGGACACTGTTAGCAGCATATTGGGGAACACATTATACCACATGGACAGAGATGCTGACAGGCATCATTTTGGAATCCTCCCTCTAGCTTATAGTGCCAGTAGCCAGTCATTCTCACCAGCCTGTCAATGCCACTATTGGGATACCTCAGGCCAAGCAACTAGCCAGGCAAAGACAAAGCCCCACTCACTAGCAGGCCTGCTACCTTAAGACCCTCTGAGTACACAGCCACCTTGGGACCTGGCTCTTTTCACTAGAAGAAACAGGACCCACCAACACATACCAGTGCACTGATACAAACCCCAGGAACGCCAGGGCCTTGCAACCAGAGACTCACTTTCTGTGGACCAATGTATTAGCTGTAGGCCCCTAGGGCCTTACTGTCAAAGACCTTGGGAGCCAGCTCAACTCAATAGTGAGCTGGCACTAATGCCAGGACTCCCTGGACCTCAGCTTCTCCAACAAATGGGCTGACACAAGTCTGGAACCCTGGGCCCTGCAGCAAGAGACCCCAGAACCTGACTCTGCTAACCAATGGGCAAGCACAAGTACCAGGATCTAATGTCACCTACCAGTGGGTGAGCAAAAGTCCCAGGATCCCTGGGCCCCAGTCCTATCTACCAGTGGCAGACAGCACCACTTATAAAGCTAGTAGGAGAATTAAATTACAAAAGTAGTAAAATTATTTATATCTGCATAAATAGTTAAGGAATATGAAAAACAAAAAAGATGTAAAACATCATATATATGTACATGATCTATATAGAGGATCATATACATATATATGATCATATGCATATATAGATCATACACACACACACACACACACATATATATATATATATATATATATATATAGAGAGAGAGAGAGAGAGAGAGAGAGAGAGAGAGAGAAAATGAGAGAGTGCTATATATAAATCTCATAGTAACAACAAACCAAAAATCTATGACAGATACACACAAAAGAGAAAGGAACACAAACATATAACTAAAAGTAGTCATCAATCTCAATGAGGAAGAGCAAAATATAAAAAAGGAACAAAAACTATTAAAACACCCTGTAAACAATATGAAAACTGGCTATAAGTACATACCTATTGATAATTACTTTAAATGTAAATGAACTAAAAAGATATAGATTTGAATGGATACAAAAAGAAGACCCATATATATACTGCCTACAAGAGACCACTTCAGATGTAAAGACACAAAAGACTGAAAGTGAGGGGATGGAAAAAGGTATTCCATGAAAATGGAAATCAAAGGAAAGCTGAGGTAACAATACTTATATCAGAAAAAATAGACTAGAAAATAAAGACTAACAAAAGACAAAGGACTTTACATAATGACCAATGGATCAATCCAACGGAAGATATAACAATTGTAAATATATATGCACTGAACATAAGAGCACCTAAATATATTAAGCAATCATTAACAGACATAAAGGGAAAAATTGACAGTAACACATTAATAGTAGGGGACTTTAACACCCCACTTAGATAAGTGAAGAGATCAGCCAGACAGAAAATCCATAAGAAAACAGTGGTCTTAAAAACACATTACATATATATATATATATATACAATTTTCTCCAGGATTGATTACTTGCTAGTCCACAAAACAAATCTCAGTAAATTTAAGAAAATTGAAATAATATCAAATTTTTTTGGCCATAGTGTTATGAGAATAGAAATCAACTATAAAAATAAAAACTGCCAAAAATACAAACACATGGAGGCTAAATATTATACCCCAAAACAACCAATGGATCACTGGACAAATCAAAGAAGATATAAAAAAATACTTGGAGACAAATGAAAGTGAAAACACAATGATCCAAAATCTGTGGGATGCAGCAAAAGCAGTTTTAATAGTCAAGTTTACAGCAATACAAGCCTACCTCAGGAACCAAGAAAAATTGGAAATATATAACCTAACTTTAAAACTAAAGGAACTAGAAAATGAATTAAAACAAAACTCAAGGTTTTTAGAAAAAAGAAATCAAAGATCACATAATAAATAAATGAAATAGAAAGCAGGAAAACAATAGAGAAAATAAATGCAGCTAAGAGCTGGTTCATTGGAAAGATAAACAGAAGCGATAAACCTTTAGCCAGTCTCATCAAGAATATAAAGGAGAGTGCCAAAATCAATAATATCAGAAATGAAAAAAAAAAAAAAGCATTTACAACCAACCCAAAGAAACACAAAGGATGATAAGAGATTACTGTACAATATTATATGCCAATAAAACGGGCAACCCAGAAGAAATGGACAAATTCCTAGAAATTTGCAATCTCCCAAGACTGGAGTTAGGAGAAATTACCAGTAATTTCATTACCAGTAATAAAATTGAATCAGCAATAAATCAACACCCCCCCGAAAAAAAGAACAAAAGCTCAGTACCACAACTCTTCACAGGTGAATTCTACCACATTTAGAGATGAATTAATGCCTATCCTTCCCAAACCCTTACGAAAAGTTATAGAGAAAGAAATATATCTGAACTCATTCTATGAGGCCAGCATCATCCTGATACCAAAACCGAAGATATCACACAAAAAATAAAATTATAGGCCAACATCACTGTTGAACTTAAATGCAAAAATCCTCAACAAAATATTACTTAACTAAATTCCACAATACATTAAAATGATATACACCATGATCAAGCAGGATTCATCCCAAGAGTGTGAGAATATTTCAATATCCACAAATCAATCAATGTGATGTGCCACATTAACAAGTTATAAAATAAAATAATAAAATTATCTCAATAAATGTAGAAAACTTTTCAGTAATTCAATATTAATTTCTGATAAAAACTCTCAAGAAAGTGGGTATGTGGGGAGCATACCTCAACATAATAAAGTCCATATATGGTAAGCCCACTGCAAACATCATACTGAAAAATTAAGAGCTGAAAGCATTACCTCTACTATCAGGAGAAGACAAGGATGCCCACTCTCACCACTTTTATTCAACATAGTATTGGAATTCCTAGCCACAGCAATTAGAGAAGAAAAATAAACAAACAGAATACAAATTGGAAAGGAAGCAGTAAAACTGCCACTGTTTGAGTTCACATCATATTATACATAGAGAATCCTAAAAACATCAACAAAAATATATTAGAGATACTAAAGGAATTTGGTAAAGCTGAAAGACACAAAATCAATACACAGAAATCTGTTGCATTTCTATAAACTTACAACAAAATGTTAGAAAGAGAATTGAGAAAACAATCCCATTTACAATTGAATCATAAAGAATGAAATACCTAGAATAAATCTAACCAAGGAGGTAAAAGACATTTATTCAGCAAATTATAAGATACTTATGAATTAAATTCAATATGACACAAACAGATGGAAAGATTCCCTGTTTTGACAGATAGGAAGACTCAATATTTTTTATTTTTTAATTTTATTTCATATTTTTTACTTTTTAAAACATCTTTATTGGAGTATAATTGCTTTACAATGGTGTGTTAGTTTCTCCTTTATAACAAAGTGAATCAGTTATACATATACATATGTTCCCATATCTCTTCCCTCTTGCATCTCCCTCCATCCCACCTTCCCTATCACACCCCTCTAGGTGGTCACAAACCACCGAGCTGATCTCCCTATGCTATGCAGCTGCTTCCCACTATCTATCTATTTTTATGTTTGGTAGTGTATATATGTCCATATCACTCTCTCACTTTATCACAGCTTACCCTTTCCACTCCCCATATCCTCAAATGCACTCTCTAGTACATCTGTGTCTTTATTCTTGTCCTACCCCTATGTTCTTCATGACCTGTTTTTTCTTTTTCTCAGATTTCATATATGCGTTTTAGCATATGGTATTTGTTTTTCTCTATCTGACTTACTTCACTCTGTATGACAGACTCTAGGTCCATCCACATCACTACAAATATCTCAATTTCGTTTTTTTATGGCTGAGTAATATTCCATTGTATATATGTGACACATCTTCTTTATCCATTCATTCAGTGATGGACACTTAGGTTGCTTCCATGTCCTGGCTATTGTAAATAGAGATGCAATGAACATTTTGGTACATGACTCTTTTTGAATTATGGTTTTCTCAGGGTATATGCCCAGTACTGGGATTACAGGGTCGTATGGTAGTTCTATTTTTAGTTTTTTAAGGAACCTCCATACTGTTCTCCATAGTGGTTGTATCAATTTACATTCCCACCAACAGTGCAAGAGTGTTCCCTTTTCTCCACACCCACTCCAGCATTTATTGTTTCTAGATTTTTTGATGATGGCCATTCTGACTGGTGAGAGATGATGTCTCATTGTAGCTTTGAGTTGCATTTCTCTAAAGATTAATGGTGTTGAGCATTCTTTCATGTGTTTGTTGGCAATCTGTATATCTTCTTTAGAGAAATGTCTATTTAGGTCGTCTGCCCATTTTTGGATTGGGTTGTTTGTTGTTTTGATATTGAGCTGCATGAGCTGCTTGTAAATCTTGGAGATTAATCCTTTGTCAGTTGTTTCATTTGCAAATATTTTCTCCCACTCTGAGGGTGGTCTTTTGGTCTGGTTTATGGTTTCCATTGCTGTGCAAAAGCTTTGAAGTTTCATTAGGTCCCATTTGTTTATTTTTGCTTTTATTTCCATTTCTCTAGGAGGTGAGCCAAAAAGGATCTTGCTGTGATATATGTCATAGAGTGTTCTGTCTATATTTTCGCTTAACAGTTTGATAGTGTCTGGCCTTACATTGAGGCCTTTAATCCATTTTGACTTTATTTTTGTGTATGATGTTAGGGAGTGTTCTACTTTCATACTTTTACATGTACCTGTCCAGTTTTCCCAGAACCATTTATTGAGGAGACTGGCTTTTCTCTACTGTATATTCTTGCCTCCTTTATCAAGATAAGGTGAACATATGTGCATGGGTTTATCTCTGGGCTTTCTATCCTGTTCCATTTACCTATATTTCTGTTTTTGTGCCAGTACCATACTGTCTTGATTACTGTAGCTTTGTAGTATAGTCTGAAGTCAGGGAGCCTGATTACTCCAGCTCTGTATTGTGTCCTCAAGATTGCTTTGGCTATTCGGGGTCTTTTGTGTTTCCATACAAATTATGAAATTTTTTGTTCTAGTTCTGTGAAAAATGCCAGTGGTAGTTTGACAGGGATTGAATTGAATCTGTAGATTGCTTTGCATAGTAGAGTCATTTTCACAATATTGATTCTTCCAATCCAAGAACATGGTATATCTCTCCATCTATTTGTATCCTCTTTAATTTCTTTCATCATGTCTTATAATTTTCTGCATAAAGGTCTTTTGTCTCCTTAGGTAGGTTTATTCCGAGATATTTTATTCTTTTTGTTGCAATGGTAAATAGGAGTGTTTTATTAATTTCACTTTGAGATATTTCATCATTAGTGTATAGGAATGCCAGAGATTTCTGTGCATTAATTTTGTACCATGCTATTTTACAAACTTCATTGATTTGGTCTAGTGGTTTTCTGGTAGCAACTTTAGGATTCTCTATGTATAGTATCATGTCATCTGTAAACAGTGACAGGTTTACTTCTTCTTTTCCGATTTGGATTCCTTTTATTTCCTTTTTTTCTCTGACTGCTGGGGCTAAGACTTCCAAAACTCTGTTGAATAATAGTGCTGAGCGTGGGCAACCTTGTTTTTTCCCTGATCTTAATGGAAATAGTTTCAGTTTTTCACCATTGAGGATGATGTTGGCTGTGGGTTTGTCATATATGGCCTTTATTATGTTGAGGAAAGTTCCCTCTATGCCTACTTTCTGCAGGGTTTTTATTATTAATGTGTGTTGAATTTTGTCAAAAACTTTCTCTGCATCTATTGAGATGATCACATGGTTTTTCTCCTTCAATTTTTTAATATGGTGTATCACGTTGATTGATTTGTGTATAATGAAGAATCCTTGCATTTCTGGAATAAACCCCACTTGATCATGGAGTATGATCCTTTTAATGTGCTGTTGGTTTCTGTTTGCTAGTATTTTGTTGAGGATTTTTGTATCTATGTTCATCAGTGATATTGGTCTGTAGTTTCCTTTCTTTGTGACATCTTTGTCTGGTTTTGGTATCAGGGTGATGGTAGCTCGTAGAATGAGTTTGGGAGTGTTTCTCCCTCTGCTATATTTTGGAAGAGTTTGAGAAGGACAGGTATTAGCTCTTCTCTAAATGTTTTATAGAATTCTCCTGTGAAGCCATCTGGTCCTGGGGTTTTGTTTGTTGGAAGATTTTAAATCACAGTTTCAATTTCAGTACTTGTGATTGGTCTGTTTATATTTTCTATTTCTTCCTGATTCAGTGTCGGCAGGTTGTGCATTGTTAAGAATTTGCCCATTTTTTCCAGGGTGTCCATTTTATTGCCATAGAGTTACTTGTAGTAAACTCTCATGATCTTTTGTATTTCTGCAGTGTCAGTTGTTACTTCTCCTTTTTCATTTCTAATTTCGTTGATTTGAGTCTATTCCCTTTTTTTCTTGATGAGTCTGGCTAATGGTTTATCAATTTTGTTTACCTTCTCAAAGAACCAGCTTTTAGTTTTATTGATCTTTGCTATCATTTCCTTCCTTCCTTTTTCATTTATTTCTGATCTGATTTTTATGATTTATTTCCTTCTGCTAACTTTGGGCTTTTTTTTGTTGTTGTTGTTCTTCTTTCTCTAATTGCTTTAGGTGCAAGGTTAGGTTGTTTATTTGAGATGTTTTCTGTTTCTTAAGGTAGGATAGTATTGCTATAAACTTCCCTCTTAGAACTGCTTTTGCTGCATCCCATAGGTTTTGGGTTGTTGTATCTCCATTTTCATTTTTTTCTTGGTAGTTTTTGATTTCCTCTTTGATTTCTTCTTTGATCACTTGGTTATTAAGTAGTGTATTTTTTTGTGTGTGTGTGTGCTCCATGGGTCTCTCATTTTTGTGGCATCTCCCATTGCAGAGCACAGGCTCTGAACACGCACGCTCAGTGACCTTGGCTCACCGGTCTAACTGCTTTGTGACATGTGGGATCTTCACGGACTGGGGCATGAACCTGTGTCCCCTGCATCGGCTGGCAGATTCTCAACCACTGTGTCACCAAGGAAACCCTAAGTAGTGTACTGTTTAGCCTCCATGTGTTTGTATGTTTTACAGATCTTTCCTGAAATTGATATCTAGTCTCATAGCATTGTGGTCAGAAAAGATACTTGATACTTTTTCATTTTTCTTAAGTTTACCAAGGCTTGATTTGTGACCCAAGATATCATCTACCTTGGAGGACGTTCCATGAGCACTTGCGAAAAATGTGTATTCTCTTGTTTTTGGATTAAAGGTCCTATAAATATAAATTAAGTCTATCTTGTTTAATGTATCATTTAAAGCTTGTGTTTCCTTGTATTTTTTTCATTTTGGATGATCTGTCCATTGGTGAAAGTAGGGTGTTAAAGTCCCCTACTATGATTATGTTACTTTCGATTTCCCCTTTCATGGCTGTTAGTATTCACCTTATGTATTGAGGTGCTCCTATGTTGGGTGCATAAATATTTACAATTGTTATATCTTCTTCTTGGATCAATCCCTTGATCATTATGTACTGTCCTTCTTTGTCTCTTGTAATACTCTTTATTTTGAAGTCTGTTTTGTCTGATATGAGAATTGTTGCTCCAGCTTTCTTTTGATTTCCATTTGCATGGAATATCTTTTTCCATCTCCTCACTTTCAGTCTGTATGTGTCCCTAGGTCTGAAGTGGGTTTCTTATAGACAGCATATATATGGGTCTTGTTTTTGTATCCATTCAGCCAGTCTGTGTCTTTGGTGGCAGTATTTAATCCATTTACATTTAAGGTAATTATTGAAATGTATGTTCCTATTCCTATTTTCTTAACTGTTTTATGTTTGTTATTATAGGTCTTTTCCTTCTCTTGTGTTTCTTGCCTAGAGTACTTCCTTTAGCATTTGTTGTAAAGCTGGCTTGGTAGTGCTGAACTCTCTCAGCTTTTCTTTGTCTGTAAAGGTTTGAATTTCTCTATTAAATCTGAATGAGATCCTTGCTGGGTAGAGTATTCTGGTTGTAGTTTTTTTCTTATTCATCACTCTAAAAATGTCCTGCCACTCCCTACTGGCTTGCAGAGTTTCTGCTGAAAGATCAGCTGTTAACCTTATGGGGATTCCCTTGTGTGTTATTTGTTGTTTTTCCCTTGCTGCTTTTAATATGCTTTCTTTGTATTTAATTTTTGACAGTTTGATTAATATGTGTCGTGGCATGTTTCTCCTTGGATTTATCCTGTATGGGACTGTCTTTGCTTCCTGGACATGATTAACTATTTCCTTTCCCATATTAGGGAAGTTTTCAACTATAATCTCTTCAAATATTTTCTCAGTCCCTTTCTGTTTCTCTTCCTTTTCTGTGACCCCTATAATTTGAATGTTGGTGTGTTTAATGTTGTCCCAGAGTTCTTGGAGACTGTCCTCAGTTCTTTTCATTCTTTTTTCTTTATTCTGCTCTGAAGTAGTTACTTCCACTATTTTATCTTCCAAGTCACTTATCCATTCTTTTGCATCAGTTTTTCTGCCTTTGGTCCCTTCTAGAGTATTTTTAATTTCATTTATTGTGTTGTTCATTGTTGTTTGTTTCCTCTTTAGTTCTTCTAGTTCCTTGTTAAATGTTTTTTTGCATTTTCTCTATTCTATTTCTACGATTTTGGATCATCTTTACTATCATTATTCTGAATTGTTTTTCAGGTAGACTGACTATTTCCTCTTCATTTCTTAGGTCTAGTGGGTTTTTACCTTGCTCCTTCATTTGTTATGTTTTTTTCTGTCTTCTCATTTTGCTTATCTTACTGTGTTTGGGGTCTCCTTTTTGTAGGCTGCAGGTTCATAGTTCCCGTTGTTTTTGGTCCCCAGTGGGTAAGGTTGGTTCAGTGGGTTGTGTAGTCTTCCTGGTGGAGGGGACTAGTGCCTGTGTTCTGGTTTATGATGCTGTATCTTGTGTTTCTGGTGGACAGGTCTACGTCTGGTGGTGTATTTTTGGGTGTCTGTGGACTTATTATGATTGTAGGCAGCCTCTCTGCTAATGGGTGGTGTTGTGTTCCTGTCTTACTAGTTGTTTGGCATAGGGTGACCAGCATTGTAGCTTGCTGGTTGTTGAGTGAAGCTGGGTGTTGGTGTTGAGATGGAGATCTCTGGGAGATTTTCACTGTTTGATATTACATAGAGCTGGGAGGTCTCTTGTGGACCAGTGTCCTGAAGTTGGCTATCTCACCTCAGAGGCACAGCAGTGACTCCTGGCTGGAGCACCAAGAGCCTTTCTTCCACACAGCTCAGAATTAATGAAAGAAAGAAAGAAAGAAAGAAAGAAAGAAAGAAAGAAAGAAAGAA